AACCCAGGGTAACAGGACCGAAGAGCTTCGTGACCCTCTGCTTATGCAACAAAGACCCTTTCGGGCCCAAAAGGGGAGGGACCCCCTGGAAGGGACCCTTGATCTTATTCCCTACAAACCCTAAACCCTAAACCCTAAACCCTAAACCCTAAACGGTCCCTTAGAGGGGTCCCCCCCTCTAGTCGCTTGAGACCCTGGCCCCGACTCCACCGTCCAGAGGGGCGGCTGGTCTCCAGCATCCTGCAGGGGCGGCTTTCTGGGTTTAGGGTTTAGGGTTTAAGGTTTAGGGTTTAGGGTTTAGGGTTTAGGGTTTAGGGTTTAGGGTTTAGGGTTGAGGGTTGAGGGTTTAGGGTTTAGGGTTTAGGGTTTAGGGTTTAGGATTGGCAGGGCCAGGACATTACTAGTTTAGAAGGGGTACGACCAGACAAAACCCCACCCGCCCAGAGGGTCCCATAACATTACGAAAATATAAAATTTCTATTCGTGATCGTACGCAGCTTTGCAGAAACCCTCGCTTGGCACCCATTTGTTCCAAAAGCTCTCCAAAGCTCCCAAAAGAAATACAATAAGGAAAAGCCAAACAAAAAATGAGATTCCTGTTTTGGGACTCCGGGGAGGCTCCCAGAAGCTCAAGGAGGCCCCCAGAAGCTCCCCCAGGCACCCAAACGAAACAAGAACAATAAAAAAACCAAGAAAAATGAAGAAAATTACAGAAATTGAGATTCCTGAACCCTTAACATTAGACCCCAGAAGAGTTTGTTGGACCCGGGAGGCTCCCAGAAGCTCAAGGAGGCCCCCAGAAGCCCCCCCAGGCACCCAAACGAAACAAAAACAACAAAAAACCAAGAAAATGAAGAAAATTACAGAAATTGAGATTCCTGAACCCTTAACATTAGACCCTGGAAGAGTTTTTTGGACCCCGGGGAGGCTCCCAGAAGCTCAAGGAGGCCCCCAGAAGCTCCCCCAGGCACCCAAACGAAACAAAAACAATAAAAAACCACGAAAATGAAGAAAATTACAGAAGTTGAGATTCCTGAACCCTTAACATTAGACCCCAGAAGAGTTTTTTGGACCCCAGGAGGCTCCCAGAAGCTCAAGGAGGCCCCCAGAAGCTCCCCCAGGCACCCAAACGAAACAAGAACAATAAAAAGCCAAGAAAAAAGAAGAAAATTTCAGAAATTTAGATTCCTGAACCCTTAACATTAGACCCCAGAAGAGTTTTTTGGACCCTTTTTTGGACCCCGGGGAGGCTCCCAGAAGCTCAAGGAGGCCCCCAGAAGCTCCCCCAGGCACCCAAACGAAACAAAAACAATAAAAAACCAAGAAATATGAAAAAAAAATTACAGAAATTGAGATTCCTGAACCCTTAACATTAAACCCCAGAAGAGTTTTTTGGACCCCGCGAGGCTCCCAGAAGCACAAGGAGGCCCCCAGAAGCTCCCCCAGGCACCCAAACGAAACAAAAACAACAAAAAACAAAAAAAAAAATGAAGAAAATTACAGAAATTGAGATTCCTGAACCCTTAACATTAGACCCCAGAAGAGTTTGTTGGACCCCGGGAGGCTCCCAGAAGCTCAAGGAGGCCCCCAGAAGCTCCCCCTGGCACCCAAACGAAACAAAAGCAATAAAAAACCAAGAAAAATGAAGAAAATTACAGAAATTGAGATTCCTGAACCCTTAACATTAGACCCTGGAAGAGTTTTTTGGACCCCGCGAGGCTCCCAGAAGCTCAAGGAGGCCCTCAGAAGCTCCCCCAGGCACCCAAACGAAACAAAAACAATAAAAAACCAAGAAAATGAAGAAAATTACAGAAATTGAGATTCCTGAACCCTTAACATTAGACCCCAAAAGAGTTTTTTGGATCCCGGGAGGCTCCCAGAAGCTCAAGGCCCCAGAAGCTCCCCCAGGCACCCAAACGAAACAAAAACAATAAAAAACCAAGAAAATGAAGAAAATTACAGAAATTGAGATTCCTGAACCCCTAACATTAGACCCCAGAAGAGTTTTTTGGACCCCGGGAGGCTCCCAGAAGCTCAAGGAGGCCCCCAGAAGCTCCCCCTGGCACCCAAACGAAACAAAAGCAATAAAAAACCAAGAAAAATGAAGAAAATTACAGAAATTGAGATTCCTGAACCCTTAACATTAGACCCCAGAAGAGTTTTTGGGACCCCGCGAGGCTCCCAGAAGCTCAAGGAGGCCCTCAGAAGCTCCCCCAGGCACCCAAACGAAACAAAAACAATAAAAAACCAAGAAAATGAAGAAAATTACAGAAATTGAGATTCCTGAACCCTTAACATTAGACCCCAGAAGAATTTTTGGAACCCCGGGGAGGCTCCCCACCCCACCCTCGCACCAAACCCATTTGACCCATCTGCCTAAATCGACGAAGGACTTAATCGACGAAGGGCTTGGCTTATTCGACAAAGGACTTGGCTTATTCGACGAAGGACTTGGCTTATTCGACGAAGGACTTGGCTTATTCGACGAAGGACTTGGCTTATTCGACGAAGGACTTGGCTTTTTCGACGAAGGACTTGGCTTATTCGACGAGGGACTTGGCTTATTCGACGAAGGACTTGGCTTATTCGACGAAGGACTTGGCTCATTCGACGAAGAACTTGGCTTATTCGACGAACTCTTTAGGGTTTAAATATATATATATATATATATATGAAGAGAGGTTTCGGGTTTAGGGTTTATTTTTTCGGGTTTAGGGTTTAGGGTTTAGGGTTTAGGGTTTAGGGTTTAGGGTTTAGGGTTTAGGGTTTAGGGTTTAGGGTTTAATTAGGGTTTAGGGGGGAGTCTAGAAGCTCTTTGTTGGGGGGCTCGAAATGGTATCATCTGTGGTCGGCTCTCTAAGACTATGGTGACCCTTTTGGGGTACCCGAAACATTCGGGGCCATACTTATAATCGTGACCCCAAAAGCGGACCATCATTCCAAAACGTGACCGCTTATACTATGTAGAGACCATGAGCAGGCCAAAGGAGCCCTTGGTGGATGGGGCCCTTGGGATGACTTAGGGTTGAGGGTTTAGGGGTTTAGGGGTTTAGGGGTTTAGGGTTTAGGGTTTAGGGTTTAGGGCTAGGGTTTAGGGTTGCAGTCACATCACGCACTGATTGGTGGGCACATGGACTCTTATGGTACAACATCTCTTCCAACTCCTGTCCCGTCCTTTCTCAGGATGAGGGTTTAGGGTTCAGGGTTTAAGGTTTAGGGTTTAGGGTTTAGGGTTTAGGGTTAAGGGTTTTTTCACACAGGAAATGTTAGAATTGGATGATTTGCCTCTGGTGTGTACCTAAATGGGGTTGTGAGTCGAGTCACCATGATTATCACCCTTGCAAAAATTCCCCATGGGGCTTCGCATTTATTGTTGGACTGGAGTTTTCTTCTCACTGAACTACTTTCTTTCGTGTTAAAAGCACCTCTTGCTCGGCTTAACGTATGGTTTTCACTTTAGTCTAGAGAATTAATTCACTAGACAATATTGAAACTCTTATCATTACGATGTGTTCTTGTTTTTGGTGGTTTACTAGCTTCTGAAGCCCGATCCTGAATACCCTAGACCCTAAACCCTAGACCCTAAACCCTAAACCCTTGAACCCTGTTCGGATGAGTTCGGCCTGTACACGCGAACCTCCATTCCTCAAGCCCCAAAAACCCTTGAGCGTTTTGAGTTGAGCGCCAGCCCAAAGCTGGATGTTCAGCTCAAAGAGGGCTTAAGGTGCGACCTTCCGAGGGTTAGGGTCCTAAGCCCCCACCCCCACCCCGCCCCCCCCCCGAATGCCCTCTAAGAACCCCAACTTGCCTCGGATAAGCAGAGCTTCCACCCTTGTTTTTTAGCGCTATATCCTTGGGTTTCATCCTTGGCTGCGCAGACTGCTTAGGTGGGGTTTGGGTCTTGAGGTTGAGCAGCTTTGCATTCAGAGCTTGCGCGAAAGCACGTGACGAGTGCTGCGCGCACACCCTACACCCTTTGCAGCCGAGCATCGGCATACCACGTTATATCCTCCGTCGGCACAATGCCGCTGACGGGCCCATCAGTGATCTCAGGTCCCCCATACGCAACGCCGTTCACGTAGATGACGTCACCGTTATCTGTATCAAAGTAGAACACAGCGATGGCCCTCTTGTTCTCCGGGGAAACGGTGATAATGCATTCGTCATTCCTCTCATCCATGCCAGGCCAGGCTGAACCCTGAAATCCTAAACCCTGAAATCCTAAACCCTGCGCCTTCAACCCCACACCCCCAAGCCAAGCGCCCCAAACCCTACACCCAGCTCAAGTCCTGAAGTCCAAACAAACTGATTAAAAAACACCCTGAAGCCCAATCCAGGCCGCCACTGACACTCCAACGCCCCAACAAGAAGGCCCTCAGCCCTAAGCCCTAAACAAACCCTAAACCCTAAACCCTAAACCCTAAACCCTAAACCCTAAACCCTAAACCCTAAACCCTAAACCCTAAACAAACCCTAAACCCTAAACCCTAAACCCTAAACAAACCCTCTAAAAAAACTACCAAAAACGAGCGAACCATGCCACCCGAAATCCTTAAAAAAGCCCTCGGCGCTCTGCAGTCCTCGGGTAGTCGTCAAGACCATAGTAGGTGCTGCTGATGCAGCCGTTGGAGTCCATGGTGCAGCTCCTGAGAAGGTCTTGGTGTTTGGGGTTTGGGGTTTAGGGTTTGGGGTTTGGAGTTTGGGGTTTGGGGTTTGGGGTTTGGGGTTTGGGGTTTGGGGTTTGGGGTTTGGGGTTTGGGGTTTGGGGTTTGGGGTTTGGGGTTTGGGGTTTGGGGTTTAGGTGGTTGGCATCATTTGTTGAAAGCAAATTGTCCTTTCAAGGGGAGGTCAGAGCTGTGGCTGCGGGGGGTCTCCGACTACTACGGGAGTCCTTGACCCCTATAGAGAAGCTTTTCTGAAGGCAAACTTTCTTCGGAGGGGTCGGAGTCTTAACGAAGGCTTGGAGAAGTGAATAACACAACCCCCCCCCCCTTCAAAAACTAGCTCGTGAAAAGGCCGAGGGGGTCCCCCTGGAAGACCCCTGAAAGGCATCGAAGCTTCTGGGAGGCTTGAAAAGCTCCTTCAAACACCTTTGCAAGCTTTAAAGGCACTGGGAAGCACTTGTCAGAACCTTGAAAGGCACTACAAGCCCAAAATCTGTGGCCGTACGCGGGAAAATACGAATTTTTAAGTGAATGGGATAATCGGATTAACAGTGGGAAATTGTAATATTGTTCGCTCTCTTGGTGTTCTCTCTAATCATAATACTGTGAGTGAATATATGAACGAACAAAAAGAGCCTGTTAATGGTATACGCATTTTTGGCCCTTCTTAATCGATCATATTATTCTATATCTTTCATCTTTGCCCCCTTTTATCTTTTCTATCACTTGTGAAATATTTTTAATCATAAAGGCTTTGGAATCTTCGGCACAAAAAATATCACTCCTTATAAGAGTAGAATCATATTCATCAGCGAATTCCTTGCATGATTTAACTGGAATCGAGCCCTGGGTACACCACCACGCGGCCTCCTTGACACCTGTCCCAAGGGGCCTAGGCAAAGGCCCTTGGACGACCGTGGAAGGCCCTGGAAGGACCCCGAATTTTCCGGGCAACTTGAAACGATCCGAAAATGATGGGTTCATGGAATCAGCCACTTTTGGCTAAGTATTGGGGCCTGCTTGACACCCCCCACGGGGCCTCCTTGCGGAACCTGGAACAAGCAGCTTAAACGGGGGGCGGAATTTCAACAAAGGTGCGTCTCCGAATACTTGAAAATTTGAAAATACGACCTCCCTTGACCCAAAACTAGGTCTGAAAGGGTTGCCCTAAACCCTAAACCCTAAACCCTAAACCCTAAACCCTAAACCCTAAACCCTAAACCCTAAACCCTAAACCCTAAACCCTAAACCCTAAACCCTAAACCCTAAACCCTAAACCCTAAACCCTAAACCCTAAACCCTAGCCCTGAACCCTCAACCCTAAACCCTAAATGGGGTGGACTTGACCAGAATGGGCTTCGGAAGCTTTGGAGGCTGCGAAGGCCCCTGGAGGAAGCTTAATGAGGTCTCCAGGAGTTCCCAGATCCGAGCCAGAAAAACCTAAATCCAAGGAGGCGGTTTAGGGTTTAGGGTTTAGGGTTTAGGGTTTAGGGTTTAGGGTTTAGGGTTTAGGGTTTAGGGTTTAGGGCTTAGGGAGGCCCTTGCTCCTTGGAGCCCCTTGAAAGCCCTTGGAAGCCCTTGGAGGCATGTGGCCCTTGAACGCTAAAGCTCACTAAACCTTAAAGGTTTCCCGAATGTCCCTAAACCCCAAGTAAAGGCCCTAAACCCTACACCCTAAACCCTAAACGCGAAACCCTAAACCCTAAACCCTAAGCCCCAACACCCGAAACCCCAAAGGCTAGAAAAGGGGCCCACCAGAGCCCTTTCAAGTCCCGAGGCCCAGGCCCAGACGCAACGTTCCACGGGAAGACCACCTGAGACTGGTGCAGGGTTTAAGGGTTTGGGGTTTAGGGTTTAGGGTTTAGGGCTTAGGGTTTGGGGTTTGGGGGGTAAGGGGTTTAGGGCTTAGGGCTTGGGGTAAAGTCTAGGGCACCCCTAAACCCCAGAAGAATCCTCAAACCCTTGGGTCTGGGCTGAGGTCTTCGGCTTTAAGGAATTGAGGTTTCTCACCCGAATGCGTGGAACCCTTTGGTGTCGGGTGTCGGGTTTAGGGTTTAGGGTTTGGGGTTTAGGGTTTAGGTTTAGGGTTTAGGGTTTAGGGTTTAGGGTTTAGGGTTTAGGTCGGGGTTCTGGGGTTTTGTGAAAGTTTAAAGGGGGGCCTGGGTGCTGGCCAAAACGCATCAGATCCAAGACAAATCCTCCAGCCGGCATCCGCGACACTTCCGTCCTTTCGTTTGTCGCAGCTGCTTCAAGGCAAGACAGGGTTAGAGTTTAGGGTTTAGGGTTTAGGGTTTAGGGTTTAGGGTTTAGGATGTAGGGTTTAGGGTCCGAAACATGCCAGAACCATGATTCCGCAAATCCACACATCTCACCTTCCGGGTAGCCAAGGATCCGATGCCCAGAAGATGTCCTCGGTCGGCACAACGCTTGCCGGTCCATCCGAACCGCTGTAGGCCACCCCATTCACGACGAGCTCATCATATTGAGACTCCGTCTGGAAGGCGATCACGTTGATGGGGCGTGTGTTGTCCGAGGCCACCGCGATCTGGCAAGAATCGCCATTCGGGTAGTCGGCTCCGTCCTCGATCCCCAGGCTGCTGATGCAGCCCTGGCTGTCAAAGAGGCAAGTCCTCGGGGCTCCATGCCGTGTTGTGCTAGCAAAATTTCGCACCGAGGCGCTTCCAATCTGCAGGCTATGGCCCTGACCCAGATGCAACGTTCCACGAAAAGGCTGCCTTACAGGTAGCAGAACTGTTGGGGGTTCACAGGGTGACCAAGCCAATGGCTGAAGCATGTGGAGACATCTATCTTAGAATTGCATTTATCAGGAGCGCTGCCCGCTGGTGCTCGAAGACTTCCCCTTACGGGTTGGGCGGCTTATTGGTGACCCCTGGTCAATAATTTGTCATGTGAAGTGGGGTTTAGACTCCTTGAACCCCCAACAACCTCACCAATAACAGCAAGATAAACCTAGTATCTGAGGTTATGGCCTGGACAGTGGGGATGGACTTGGGTGCAGGCCGAGGACCGCAAGACAAATTCTCCAGCCGGATTTCGTCACAATTTGATCCTTCAGCTGCAGCAACAATTAAACCCTAAACCCTAAACCCTAAACCCCAAACCCTAACCCTAAACCCTAAACCCCAAACCCTAAACCCACACAGGCTCCCTGCTTCAGCCATGGATCGGAAGACCACGTGATGGCCCCGGTTGGCACGATGCCGTTCGGCCCCCTGGAACCACTATAGGCCACCCCGTTCACCACGAGCTCATCATACTCAGCCTCCGTGTCGAAGGCGATGACGCTGATGGGGAGTGTGTTGTTCGCGGCCACCTGAGTAGCCCTCTAGGGTCCCTTTTCGGGGTCCTTTCCATCATACGCCACCCTCCCAAACCCTAAACCCTAAACCCTAAACCCTAAACCCTACACCCTAAACCCAAGAAGGAGCCCCGAACTTTGAGAGCTACCCCCACCTCGATGGTGCAGGCATCATCACTGGGGTACCCGTTTCCAAGCCCATACCCGAGGCTGCTGATGCAGCCCTCGAAGTCCATGCCGCAGCTCCTAGCGGAGGCGGAGCTCTCCAGTAAAGCCCAAAAGCGCCCCCTAAACCCTAAACCCTAAACCCTTAACCCTAAACCCTAAACCCTAAACCCTAAACCCTGCGCAAAGCAAGCTAGGGCCCCGGCCCAGATGTAATGCTCCATGGCAAGGGTGCCTCTGACTTGCTTCAATGGGTTCTTTAAGTTAGGGTTTAGGGTTTAGGGTTTAGGGTTTAGGGTTTAGGGTTTAGGGTTTAGGGTTTAGGGTTTAGGGTTTAGGGTTTAGGGTTTAGGGTTTAGGGTTTAGGGCTTAGGGCTTAGGGCTTAGGGCTTAGGGCTTAGGGCTTAGGGCTTAGGGTTTAGGGTTTAGGGTTAGGGTTTAGGGTTTAGGGAATAGGGTTATAAATTAGAAGTACAGTTACCATGAATGTAACCCTACGCATAACTACCGATCAACCTCCAAGCAAGGGCTGGGGCACAATGTCCACATGTCTCTTGCAGGCCAAGAGCATCCAGGCCCAGACAAATCTTCCACCCGCTTGACGAGTCATGCCAGTTCTCGGCACCAAATGCTGAGTAAATGCTGCTACAATATGCCCACATGCCGCAATGTACCGAACTCTGAAAGACACATCATTCCAGCCAAGCGTCGGTAGACCACGTGATATTCTCCGTGGGCACAATGCCCATGGGACTTGCGCTGCCAAAATATGCCACGCCATTCACCACCAGAAAGTCATCTTTCCCCGTGTTGAAAGCAATCACGTTGATGGGGAGCGTGTTGTCCGGGGCGACTGCGATCAGGCACTTATCGTCAGACGGGTACTCTCCGTCCCCAAACCCCGGGCTGCTGATGCAGCCCGCGCTGTCCATTGTACAACTCCTGGGCCAAAGAACCAACCGTCTCTGACCTACCCCAACTGCTTTTAGCGGGCCCAGCACACAACTGCACATCAAGCGCTGTGGCCCCGGCCCGGACACATTGCTCCAAGGGGCCTGCAGGAACTGCGTGCAGATGGCTCATTATGCTTTGTGCAGCAGTCCAAGTCTCTGTGGCTACACCAGCCGTCTACATCCAACAGTCTCGCTAACCTCCCACACCTACACTCTGCACGTTGCGGTGACGTATTGACGCTCTTTCAAGATTAGTCTTTTATGCTATGACCTCAGGGATTGGGGTTTTAGGGTACAGGGCAGTTTAGGGGTTTACAGTGGCATGTCGGCCTCACGGATAGCAAGGAGACACATCTTCCAACCGGCAGCCTCTGCGTACGAGTCCTTGCATCCAAGTGGCATGTGCTAGGACGAATGCCAAGGCTGCAACATCTCGCAGCCAACTGCCGGTACGTGCATCCAAGCGTCGGCCGACCACGTGATGTTTCCCGCCGGAACAACGCCAGCCGGTGCCGTGGTACCATCGTAGTACACGTCATTCACGAGGAGATAGTCGTAGTACGTTTCTGTGTTGAAGGCGATCACGTCGATGGCGAGTGTGTTGTCTGCGGGCACCGTGATAGTGCACTCATCATTGCTGGGGTAATCGGTTCCATCCTCATACCCCGTACTGCTGATGCACCCTTGGCTGTCTATCCTGCAGGACCTCGGCATGGAACAGAGGTCAGCCCAAGCGCTCTCTTCCTCAACTAGCACTGCGCAGTGCGTGTGCAATCGCACGGCTCCTCCCTTCGCTCTTTGAGGGCCGGGCCCCGATGCAAGGCTCCATGGCAGAGATGGACAAATCTTCCAGCCGGATTCTTCTGCGTACGAGTCCTTGCATCCGACTCGTGTGCCCCGCTTTTGCGACCCCCAAATGCGTTCACGCACGCTTGCTCGCCCTGGTTTACACAGATCGCGGCTGGAGCTGGAGGCCTGGGAGGGTCGTGGCGACTGGTTTGGAGCCTGCTGTTTTGGAGCCTGCAGGAAACCGTTAAACATCGGCAAGTGTTGAGCGTCTTTGGGGAGTTTGCGTGCCTGCCACAGAGGCTCCGGAAAGCCTAGAACCCACTGTCCTGGTCAAGTTCTGGGATTGGAGGCCCTGGGAGATCCTAAGACAGTTCAAAGCCTTTGGCACATGTTATTGGTCGTTTCTTGGTTCGATTGGAGCTGCACGCTGGGGAAAGTCGTGAATGCTTTCGTGCGACTCGAAACCGAAGGACATCCGAGGATGGATGGGCGAGGGGTGCGTTCGGAACGCGCCAAGGCACTTTCCAGATACGCATGTCAACACAGCCGAACGCGAATGCACATGCAAGCTAAACGCGAGTGCAAGGGTAGCCAGGGCTGCAACATCTCGGAGCCAACTGCGGGTACGTGCATCCAAGCGTCGGCCGACCACGTGATGTTTCCCGCCGGAACAACGCCAGCCGGTGCCGTGGTACCATCGTAGTACACGTCATTCACGAAGAGATAGTCCCAGTACGTTTCTGTGTTGAAGGCGATCACGTCGATGGCGAGTGTGTTGTCGGCGGGCACCGCGATAGTGCACTCATCATTGCTGGGGTAATCAGTTCCATCCTCATACCCCGTGCTGCTGATGCACCCTTGGCTGTCCATGCTGCAGGTCCTCGGCATGGAACAGAGGTCAGCCCAAGCGCTCTCTTCTTCACTAACACTGCGCAGTGCGTGTTCAATCGCACGGCTCCTCGCTTGCTGAACACCTCAACCCTAGACCGAGAAAGACTTATCAGATTGCGAGTGCCATTTTCACACTCCTTCAGGGCCGGGCCCCGACGCAACGCTCCATGGGAATGTTGCCTGCTGGCAAAGGGCTGGGTTGCTCTGCATGAAAAGGTCTGGAGGTTTGGGGCGTGGATTTCACGATACAAAGTATCATTCAATCAAAAATATGGTTTCCAACATGTTTGATACAAAAACAATCGTCTCGGGGCGGTGGGAGCGCGGGGGCTGGTTGGTCGGACGGACGAGCGTTTGAGACACTGACCCGGTCTGCATGTCTGCCGGCAGACCCCCCAAACCCCTGCATCCAGGGCTTCTTGATTTCCCTCTCAGCTGATCCGCGCGCCAACATGCTGCCTTCAAGCCCAAGCGGTTGGTTTGAGACTGGATCAGTATCCCAAAACAACCACCCATCATAAGAGTGGTAGGGCATGCGCTGCATGCTGCCGGTGCATCACAACCAACAGCGGAGATCCTTCAGAATCTCGAATCCCCGAACCAAAACGGCACAGCAAAGCCATGTAGAGACGCTGATACGAGATACTGTAAGGCTGCCTCACACAGTTCTAGGCTACCTTCATGTTTCCAAGATCCAGAAACAACAACCCTCAAAGCCCTGAATCCCGAACCCCAAGCTCGAAACCCTGGTCAAAAGCGCAGGGCACCTGTAGCGCCCGACGTAAAGACGGCGCCGCTGCCTCCTAGGGAAAGCACAGAAAGCCCAAACCCTAGACCTTAAAACTGCAAACCTCAAAACATTTAACCCACGAAGATGATGGCAAGCTGGGTAAAAAGGAGCAATCGGGAAAGCGCCCAGCCCAGACTGGTCACAGCGCCGAAAAATCACGTGGGGGTTTACGGTATTTGGGGGTACCTTTTGGGGGTCTTTGTTACAAGGAGATCCGACTATGTGGGGGTCACCATTAGGGGTCGCCTATTTTCGCAACTCCCCCGCATGAAATTTGAATAGTGCGAAGACACACGTGCGATTAAGTAAAGCGACGGAAAACCTCAGAGCTAAGATCCAGAGCACAGGCAGTCCCCAGAGACTCCAATACCCCGTTTAATTGAGGACTACACATTTACCCCTTAATTAAGGAGCTTTCCTTAAAAGATAAAGAGGGTTCCTTAGGTTGAACGAATATTCTTTAAAGGCGTACTGCGTACTGGAGTCTCCGGGATGGACTCCGGGGTGTCGCTTCTAGCACGCCGTGGCTTCCGCCACGCGTCAGCCACCCTGAAAGCCTTACTTCCCACCTCCCAGCCAACTACCCAATCAGGCCCCGCAATGACCCCGCCATGCCCACCCTAAACCCTAAACCCTAAACCCTAAACCCTAAACCCTAAACCCTAAACCCTAAACCAAATCCCTGAACAGGTCGGGCCTGTTGGAGGCAAAGCCTCCAACCTGCACCTGCCTGCATGGCGTCCTCGGCTTCTTTAAGTGCTGAGGTGGAGTGTTTGAGGGTACCCTAAACCCCAAGCCCCAAACCTTACTAACCCTAAACCCGAAACCCTACACCCCTGCACGAGCTGTTGAGACTCTGGGGGCTGGCGGCCGCTCTTCAAGGGCGGGATAGGCTTCTTGTGGGTTTCAAGCTCAGGTCTCATGCGGCTGTCGGGGCTCAGGACTGTGTGGCCCTGGATGGAGGCATCCTGCAACTTGGGGCTTTCTAGGATTCTTCACAATCAAGCGCAAAACCCCAAAAGCCAAGTGCTGGTGTATCCGCGACTACCCATAGAACCGTCTAAACCCGCAATTGAATTTTGAAGAAAAACCCCTCCACCACCACACCGCCTGGCGTCCGAACTCCAGAGGATGGAGCCCTCGGGAACCACGCCCTGCGGCCCCTGGGTGCCGGAGTAGTCCGCGCCGTTGACGCGCAGCGTGTCGCCGACTTCGGTCGAAAAAACCTCCACATCGATGGGCCGCCTCCGAAACAGATTCTGCAGGACAGCTAGGGGTTTTTAAAGGAGGGGGCTGATGGTAGGGTTTAGGGTTTGGGGTTTAGGGTTTGGGGTTTGGGGTTTGGGGTTTGGGGTTTGGGGTTTGGGGTTTGGGGTTTGGGGTTTGGGGTTTGGGGTTTGGGGTTTGGGGTTTGGGGTTTTTAAGTTTCGAGGTTGTGAGGTTTAGGGTTTAGGCCTTAGGGTTTAGGGTTTAGGGTTTTTGGGTTTAGGGTTTAGGGTTTAGGGCTTGGGGCGTTCAGGAACCTTCGAGCTGTTGGCTTTTGGAATGCAAGCTTCTGACCTTGTGGTCTGAGGGGCCCAGTTTGCAATCAAGCCCTGGGCGGCGCGCCTGTTGCCAGCTGCGATTTCGATGACGCACGAGTCACTGTTGGGGTATTTGTCTGGGAAGTTCGTGCTGACAATGCAGCCAGCCTCCGCGGCGCAGGACCTGAAACTTGGGAAGGTAGAGGTGTGTAGCGACACGTAGACCAGGGAGCCCAAAACCCCTTGAATTAAGGAATATACCTGAAACCATCTAGGGATCCTCAGTATGATGTAAGGCATACTCCCTTCACTAAAGGGTGTATGTGGGCTCTTTGGCACTGCAGAGGCCGAGCTGGCGCTAGACTCTTCATGCACAGGCAAGACCCCAAAAAGAGCCCAACACGCCTCAAGTAAGGAGTACACCTTAGAACTCTATAGGGATCTTTAGTATGATTTAAGGGTTATGCTCACCAAATTATTGGGGGGTTTTGGGGCTCTCAGGGAACTCTTCATGCAGGGTCGCTTTGAATGAAAAAAGGACCCCGAGCCAAACTTACCCCCCCCCCCTAAGCCCTCGTTGCAGCCTGCAGCCTGCAAGGCAAAGGCTGAGAAGTGGCCCCCATTAAACCAACCCTAAACCCTAAACCCTAAACCCTAAACCCTAAACCCTAAACCCTAAACCCTAAACCCTAAACCCTAAACCCTAAACCCTAAACCCTAAACCCTAAACCCTAAACCCTAAACCCGAAACCCAACCCTGAACCCTGGGGATGTTTGTGTGGAGCCCTCAGGGTTTTCGCGCCGGGTCTTTGAGTTTAAGTCTTTCAGCTTTGGGGTTTAGAGCTAAGGGTGGGTTTGGGGGTTTAGGGGGCTTAGGAAAATGGAGGTGTGAAGGACGGAGAGGCTAACCCAAGCTGCAGTAGCGTGGACACAACAAAAGAACCCTCTCGGCCGCGAACCCCTTCGTGACTGTCCAAGCTGGCAAGCCTGTGCAAGACAGAAAAACAAGTTGCACACTCTGCGGCGAGGAACAAAATATTGATGAGGGTTTCTGCTTGCAACGTCACGGATCCACCTAAAATCATCGTGGCGGGAAGCGCCCCGACTCCTGCGAAACCAAAATAACCCTGGAACACTGCAAATCTGATGTCAGGCCGTTTCCTGGCTTTCGAGTTCACGGTCTGGTCTTGCGTGGCTAAGCCCCTGGACTTTGAGGCAAACCAACAGCCCAACGCCCAAAGTACCGCTCAAACCCGCACCGCTTCACTCGAGCAGACAAGAACGGCTTGTGGTTTTGGGGCCTTCGCCTAAACCCTAGACCCTAAGCCCCAAACCCTAAGCCGTAAATGCTTGGCCCTTGCTCAAGTCTAACGCCCATTTCACAACCCGTCTGAAAGAGGCCTTCGATACCGCATGGTTCCCAAAGAGAAGCTCCATTTTAGGGTCCAGGGTTTGGGGTTTAGGGTTTAAGGTTTAGGGTTTGGGGTTTAGGGTTTAGGGTTTAGGGTTTAGGGTTTAGGGTTGAGGGTTGAGGGTTGAGGGTTGAGGGTTGAGGGTTGAGGGTTGAGGGTTGAGGGTTGAGGGTTTAGGGGACCCAGCATCACACGTTCCCCCCCCCACCTGAAGAAAGGGAGAAGGATAAACTCAGCAAAGCGATCCACATTGCAGCTGTGGTGGCCTTGGTCCGGTTGAGGGTTTGGGGTTTGGGGTTTAGGGTTTAG